CCCTTGCTCACACCCATCCCAACCACCTCCCATTCCTGGCAGGACACCATGAATTCCTTTGGTGTCAGCAGGGCAACGTGTGACCCAGCTGCAGGATTGCATCCCAAGTCCCCCTGATGCCTCGTGGCCCTGCTCACCTGTGAGCAGAGAGTTGCCTCCTCATGGAAGTAGCCGTGCATGAACTCGCAGTACTCCCGCGTCGTGATCTCGCAGCTGGGCAGAGGGCAGGCAGCGGGCTCGCTCGGGGCAGGGCTCGCTCCCCTGAGCATCCCCCTCTGCTCCCGGCAGCACCCGGCCAAGGCTCTGGAATGTCCCTCACCCCCTGGCATAGGACATTGATGAGGCAACAAGAGGCAGTGGGGCAAAGGGGGGAGCTGAGCCTGGGCCGAGTGCCCCCATCGCTGCGACCCACCTGCCCTTGGTGCCGATGCAGCAGGGCCTGCCCTTGATCTGGCAGTCCATGTGGGCAAAGCCTGTGTGGTTGGTTTTGGTCTCGTAGGTGCAGATCTACAAGTGGGAAGGAGAGGAGTTGTGGTTGGGGTTCGACCCCAGGCTCTGCCCCGCAGCCCACACCCGGCTCGTCACCCGCTGTGCCTCCCACAGATGCTGCCACCATGGTGTCACCCAGCTGGTAGTGGCATCAGGCTCTTACCGGCCACTTGGTGATGTCATCTGGCCACACATGGGGTGGGTTGGATGCCGGCTCCTCACACGTCCTGTTGGGAAGAGGTGAGTTGGGGGTCAGGACAGGTCCACTCCCAACACATCCCTCCCTGCAGACCAGTAACCCCCCTTGGGCACAGAGAACCCCAGGACCTGCCCCTTTCCCTGGCTTGGGAGGGATCCTGCACATCAGTGTCCCACAGCAGCACCTCCTGCAGGCAAACCCCGTGGCACCTGCATCTGACAGACAACCCCATCGATGTCCCTTCACAGCATCACCCACCCCAGCTCATCCCCCACAGAGGAGGGTGGGCAGGGGCCAGCACGAGACAATGGCAGCACCCATTGCTACCCACGTTTAGGACAGACCCCACCTCAGTTCTCCCATTGATTCCCTCTTCCTTATCACCCTCCTATGCTGTGTAAGAGCCACTGGCCCCTCAAACAAGCCAATTCATAGTATCATAGAATGGTCTGGGTTGGAAGGGCCTTTAAAGCTCATCCAGTCCCACCCCCCCTGCCATCAGCAGGGACACCTTCCACTAGACCAGGTTGCTCAAAGCCTCATCCAACCTGGCCTCCAACACTTCCAGGGAGGAGCAGCCACAGCTTCTCTGGGCAACCTGGGCCAGTGTCTCACCACCCTCACAGGGAAGAATTTCTTCCTAATATCTCACCTAAACCTCCCCTCTTTCAGTGTAAAGCCATTACCCCTTGTTCTATCACTCCCTGCCCTTGTCCAAAGTCCCTCTTCAGCCTTTCTGTGGCCCCTCAGGTACTAGAAGGTCACTAGAAGTTCTAGAGCCTTCTCTTCTCCAGGCTGAACAGCCCCAACTCTCTCAGCCTGTCCTCATTCAAGGCATCCAAGTTGGAGATGCAGCCTCATATAGCACCTCTGCTGTGCCCCACGTACAGCCAGGTGACTGTGCTGCCTCGTCCCAGTTGTCACTCCTACCTGGGGTCCTGGTGACACACAGCGCCTGATGTCCGCTTCTCACCCGAGCCCATGGCCGGTGCATTGCTGCCCGGCCACTTGATGAACGTTGCCAGCGTCTCCTGGGGAGGATGAAGAGACTGAGGATGCGGCAGCAAATGCCCCACTCTGACCCTGCATGCACCCTGCCCTGGTGCTGAGCAGGGCAGAGGTGGTTTCCCTTGTTTCTCCAGGGATCCCCAGCAGTTCCTGGTGCTGGCAGCACGCACCGAGCAGTCCCGTGGCAGGGTCTGGATGCAGCCCGAGTTGTCATTCTTGACACAGCAGCCGGAGCCGCGTTCCCGGTCCCGCTCGCGCTGGATGAGCTGTTCCACCTGCCGATCCTTCCGGATGCAGGGGGAGAACTTGGCTCCCAGGTGGATCAGGTCGATCTGGGAAGGAGATGCCAGTCCAGGGGATGTTCCGTGGCCCTCCTGCACCTCCCCTTCCTCCCGCTGCCACCAGAGAGAGCTCAGCAGGGGCAGGGGTCCCCACAGGTGACAGCCCCGAGTCTCCATTTCCCCAGTGTGGGGAAGGTGGGTAGGTGGGAAGGGGAT